ATGGCTTCGAGAAGGCCGTACGCAAAGGGCAAGGGGCACTGGACGCCGCCGTAGAACAACAGACCGTGAAGATCGCCGCCTAAGATTATTGGCCTTAAGGGACCGTTTCTCCACTACCAGGTCCATTGCAAATGAATGGTTTGCACAACACGGAAGACCTATTGGCATGCGAAGTGTTTACCGACGAATGAGAAGTATTGGCTTGTTTTCATACCGGCCACACTGGGTCCTCCCTTTAACTCGAGAAACACCGACGTAATCGCTTTGAGTGGTGCAGACAACGGTCACTCTGGGATCAGGAATGGAACAGTATTGTCTTTAGTGAGAGTCTCGATTTTGTTTAGGCATGCACGATGGTCGTGCCATGCTTAGAAGGCGACATGGTGAAGGAGGAATCCACAGTTTTTTGTTGAAAGACATGTTCATCACACTGTTGGAGTTATGGTTTGGGGTGCTATAGCTTATGGTTCCAGGTCACCTTTAATCTTCATCAGAGGTAACATGAACGCGCAGCGTTATATCCACAAAGTTCTAGAACCCCATCTTTTACCCTATCTTGACACTTAGGCAGATCCAACCTTCCAACAAGATAATGCCCGACCACATGTTGCAAGAGTCACAATAGACTTCTTTCAACATAATGATGTCACATTGTTACCATGGCCACCAAGATCTCCCGACTTATCCCCAATTGAGCACGTGTGGGATATGATGGGTAGGAGATTGCTCAATTTGCAACGTCCTCCTCAGACTCTAGAAGCACTTCGAGAGGAGTTGGTGGTTGCCTGGAATGAGATACCACAGGAGGACATTGACCACCTGATCAGAAGCATGCCTAGGTGCGTTGGAGAATGCGTAGCACATCAGGGTGCATCCACACATTATTAAAGGTCGAAGCGCTTTAAAGCAGTGCAATCATTTTGAAATTTTTATCATTTACTTATTATGCTTCATTAAGTACTTATAGAAAATTTTATTAAAATAAAACCATTTAAACTGGGTGTTCGGACTTATATTTCACTTAGTATATAATAAGCCCAAAATATAGTGACATGTAGGCACTGTCCTATATTTGAATACGTAAAATTTCAAACAAAATCAATAACACATCAGGAATTGCAGTCATCAGTCAATAATATCTATAAATACCCAATTAAAATCATGTTTTACCTGTTCACATCAGGGTTTTTGTCAAGGAAAAGGGATTGCTTCCAACAAATCGGCTGCGAAACAGCTACAAAAAAAAGCTGGAGGAGTGTGAATTTCAAGACGTGTGCATGCTCCGATGGTATACAAAAGAAAACTGGCCGCTTGAGGTTAAAATCCAATTAAAAAATGGACGGGGTAGCACCCAAACCAAAACAATAAACGTATAGTACAAAATAAAAGGGTACTACTCATAAATTGGTGTTTGGGAGTCTAATATCCCAGAATATGGAAATAATGAACGACACCCACACCAAAATCTCCGCAGGAAAGTGAATAACGCAGTAAACCTAATTTTTTAAAAGAGGGTTAAATGAGTCGCGCACTGGTTGCCAAGGGGCAAAACCAACTGTCTCTACGAGAGATCAACAAAATTTTGTGAGGGAATTTCTGAGATAGTCGTTAATAATACTATAATATTGGTTTCCAAAAAATTTCAACACAATACTGAATCGCTAAGAAAGAAAGGTATAATACGTGTGAAATTATACAATCAATAAACTATGAAATTTGCCAACAGAAAATCATTAAAAAGGTTTGGCCGAGAAATCGGTACTCTATAGTTAATAAAGAGAAATTCAAATTACTGCTAAGTGATCAAAATAGTAAAAAAAGGTTAAGTGATTTTAGCACGTGACAACCTGCTTGGCATAACGTGACCATGACCTGTATGAAAATACTCAGAGGAGGGCTACACGTATCCCGTACCGTATCCAACGACCTTATCATGAGAAGAGGCTGAAGCTATTTAAGTTAACTTAGATAGATGCTTACAAGAAGACTTGATAATCATATACAGAGCTTTGCATGGTTTCTTAGCACTGACATGTCTTCACCTTTCCAACTCAACTCCAACCACCTGAAAGGCCACAACTATAACCCGGTGAAAGAGAAGTTTCGAACTACACCTTATTAATCAATCTTTCCTGTCCAACCTAATTTTTGATACCTGGAATAGGCTGCCCTACGACGTTGTTAATGCATCCACAGTTAACAGGTTCAAAAATCGTTCCGACAGGTGGATACTCGTCGAACTCTAGTTTGCTTATGACATGATCTTTGATCGACACCTTAGTCAAGTACAGTTTTGACTGGTTTTTGCAGTCAAAAGTGATTTTAACCTACTTCCCTTTTCTTGCAAAGACGTCTGTGCAAGCTTGTCAGGCAGCTGTCAATCTGAGCCTACCCGAATGGTTAATGCCGATCGAGTGGCTGTCAACTTAGTAAAAGGATCTGACAGTGACAAAGCCTGCTGTCTTGCATTCCCTCGTTGGACAGATAATAGTCAATCTATAGTCAACGCCAAACAAAGTGGCGTGCACGTCATCAAGGTGGGTGTGTTGAAAAATTTACATTGTTGCCAAACTTTTTGTAAAATAATAAAATTTATTATTTACATATCTAGGTTTATAAGCAATATTAACCTCAAATGAGAACAAAAATAATAGTATAATAAAATTATAGATCTGTACTTGCATAATCATTAAGTATGACAATTATTGATCAGATGACACTATAAAACTACCATATTTAATTGATAGCTTAAAGGTACTGAATAAAAATCCAAATGGGGTCCTCCAAATTTTATGCATGGTATTTATTTACAGAATTGATACAGAAAAATGCATTCTTAAATTAGGTAAGCTACTGGTGTAAGCTTTTTCTGTACAATAAAGTTAGTCGGAGTTTCTTTCTTCAGCGCTGTCTGAATCTGAATCTTCATCACTCTCAAAGTTGATTATTAAAGGTTCGATGTCTGGTCGATAAAAAATTCGTTCTCTTTCATACCATTTAAAAATTTCTTGCTCAGTATGTCGAACACTATTTTTCCACTTGTCTGGGGTAACCGTTTGTAGAGCCTCGTTCCACATATCCAAACAGTCTTTTCACTGTTACCATCTCTACCAATATGTCTGTTATAGTAACCTTTTGCTATGCCCCAAATTAACTCAATAGGGTTAAATATACAATGGTAAGGAGGCAGACGAAGAACTTTGTGCCCATGTTGTTCCGCCAATTCATCAATCACGTATATTTTAGGTGGTTTGTTTCTAAAAAAGCAGTTATTTTAAGAATAGGAATAAACAAAAGAAATATAAACTGTCGACCAAAATATATATAATTAAGAAGCATTATGTACCGAGCAACAATACTCAATAGCTCTGTTTTAAACATTGTGTTTAAAAATGGTATGTTTTGATTTGTCAACCAGTCTTGGATATTTTTTTTGTCCATGCATTGTTGGGCACTTTGTTCATATCATGCTGTAATAAGGGGCGTTATCCAGTATAATCATAGATGGACTCTCCAATTTTTCTAATAACTGATGTTGAAACCATTTCAAAAAATTGTCCTGGTTCATCTCTCCATGGTAATCGCTCAATTTTGTTGTCGAAGAAAATATCGCTTCACTACCCTCAATAAACCCATTTTCATTTCCAGCATGTAATATAATGTATCTAAAATATATTAGTTTTAAATTTTATAGTGCAAATTGTGTAAAAGTACATACCTTTTACCATCTGTTTTAATAGCTTTCACGCTTTTTTGGTTTCCATTTTGCCAAGAGCGACCTATGGTCCCATTTTGAAATATCCAAGTTTCATCGAGGAAGACAAACTGGTATAAGGCCTCAACCTTGGCTTGATTGTATTGCCTTAGAAATTCCACCCTTTTCAAAGCTATACTTGGTAGTTCCATGAGCCCTCGTCGCGGATTGTCCTTAAGCCACTTAAATCCAAGATCTCTAAGCAACCGCCTTAAAGACGTGGCTCTACCATCAAATAATGCCCTATCTCTTAATCGAGACCATAAAGTTTGTATCGTAACTATCTTGTTCTTCTGAAACCATGTGTAATATGACATTATAATTTAGTTAACAAATTAATGTAAATTTCTGATAAGTTATTATAATAAGATCTTACTTTTGTGATACATACTATAGATCACTTCTCGAATGGCACTTGTATCCAATGTCGCTGTGTTGGTTACACGTTTAATATAACTCCGCTTTTTCTTGGACGATTCTAAATTTGCATCACTTTTCACACCCTCGGAGATACGACTAACTGTCCTTAAACTATTTTTAAAGCAGCAGCAACACGCTACAAAAAATGAAATAAAATTTCACTATTATTAATATACATTACATATAATTATTAGTAACCTACCTCTTGAACAGCATTTAAAGGCAACAAAGGCCCGTTGTTGTCCCTTTCTTGCTCAAAGTAGTGCATTAACGAGGCCACGAGTTCCTTACACCGACTATTTAACTGTTTGGGCATCTTATATATACCAAAATTGCCTTTATCTACTCGTAAAATGAATAATTTTGTTTTGAAACAAACAGTTGTTGATTTACAGTATGCGGGGCCAAAGGATTTATAAAGATTTGAAATGCCACAAATTGATTCAGTGTCAAAATTAATACAAATGTCAGTTCCCAGTTTAAATAAGTTTCAAGGTGACAATGTGTCAACGCTGCGAAATCGGTTTAGTGCGTTTACATGTCGATAAGTGATTGGAGCGTTTGCAAAACATTTTATTTCGCATAATGCGTCTAAATTTATCAGAAAGCAACTTATGTGATATTTTAATAACAATGTTTATATGACTATTAACCATAATAAGAGAGTAATGACCATTTTACAATTATATATCACATTAATATGAAACTGCAATAGAGCAATTGTTTGTGATAGAAACCTAGGCATTAGGTCGGGGAATTTTTATCGTGATGACGTGCACGCCACTTTGTTTGGCGTTGACTATATTTGACTCCATTCTTGTTGCAGGCGGCCGTTGACGGTGACAGAGAGTGCAAGCCAATGGAATCCGTGGACCGTCCTGAACTGTACGCCCGCCACGTCGCGCACCATCAGCATCTCATTAGTCCGGATTATTCAGTAAGTAGATATGGCTCCGCCGCAGCACAACTTGATTAATATAGTTGGGAGATTTAGACGACAGGAGGAGATAGTATTACCTAGAAGAACATGCCACAAAGGGTTTCAAGTTTCTCCAACAGGTCTTAGCAAGTTTGGGCACATGGAACGTATGGCTCAACGGGTTTTTTAATTTTTTTACAGATATAAGTCAAAAAACCATACATTTGTCTTAAGTATGTGGTTAAACTAAATAATATATCTATTACCAAAAAATGGCGTCAAGCAGATTGACCTTGTACTTCCTACGCCTTCAAGGCCACTTCTAGTAGTGTAGAGCAATGCCAGCAAAAAGACGTAGGTCTTGTGCACTATTTGGGCTTTATAGATAGTAGTAGTAGTAGTAGAAAGATTTATTTAGCACATTTGGCTACATAAACAGAATAATTGTAAACAACTTTGAACTAGTAAATTCAAGCCATATGGTGTATGATGTAAATAGTAAATTCTGGGCAACCTATAATTGTAGATTTAACAAGTGATTTCTCAATTTTACTTTAAATTTTGTCAAAGTTTTCTGGTCTTTTATATCGGAGTAAAATTTATTATATTCAATCAACCCTTGATGGAATACAGATTTGTAGCATATGTTATACTTTTTGGTCATTAAATGGAAGTCATCTTTATTTCTGGTATTATGTAAATGATGGTCGACATTTGATGATGTTAAATTAGTTAGGCTTGATGAAATATATTATTTTTTACTTTATAAATAAATACCATTACAAGATATTTGATAATTTTTTTTACATTGAGCCATTTTAATTTGCTAAGCATTTGCCTAATTGGAGTATATTCATCTTTATTTAGTATTATTCTCATGCACTTATTTTGTAAAATTTGCAGTCTTTCAAAAATGGAATTATTTGCTAAATATAGAATAGCCGAACAGTACAAGAAATTTGGAAGAATGATGGTATTATAGATAATTTTTCTGCTATATGAACTCAGTCATCCAGAAACTCTCGATAAATATCCCACTTTACTACTAATCTTATTTATAACTTTTCATAATGAATATCAAAAATTAATCGAGAGTCAATAAAAACCCCCAGGTATTTAAAATTTTCTACGAATTCAATATCTTCACCATCAATATTCAGTTGAACATTTGTACATTGTTTTTTCCGATTAACAAGGCTTTCGTTTGCATTTAATTTTAGTCTGTTAGATGCTAACCATTTTGAGACAAGCTTCAAGTCTTCATTTATATAAGAGATACCAGACTGAATATTTTTAGTTAGTTTCAAATGCCATTTTCAAATTCAAAAATACTGCTATGACAACTTCTTCTGAGTCTATGGCTCTTCTCCAATTCTCAGTTACCAACTGGAAAGCTGTTTCTATGGAATATTTTTTTCGAAAGCCTGCTTGCGCCTCCACTAAAATTTTGATTGCTTCTATAAATTGCATTAATTGGTCATGCACTATGGACTCTAATAATTTTTCAATGTCTGGTAATACATTTACTGGTCTCATATCGCTGCATCTTTTAGAATTTTTGATTTTGGGAACTGGTGTTATTGTAGAGCATTTCAAATTTTCAGGAAAAGAACTGCTTCTCAGTTGATCCAATTTAATACAGGATATCCCAAAATTTCGAAACAGTTTTTCAGCACGTTTTTAGTAGTGATTTCGGCACAGCTGTTATTTGATTTTAAACTGTTTACTTTTTTTCTTAGATTTTCCCCCTGGAGACTGATTTTCATACAGTCAGGTGCAGCATTGGCAGTACCCACAATATCAACAATACTTTCCACAAAATATTCATATAGTTTGTTTGCAATCACCAAAGAATTTGTTTCGGTACCGTTTTCGAATTGAACTTGATTTACACAATCATGCGGCTTCGAATTGATCAGTCTTTTTAAATTCTTCCACATCTTTACACTGTCGCACTTATTATTATCGATATATATATATATATATATATATATACGTATATATATATATATATATATGTATACCTCTTATGTCGCTACGCTGCTGACTGCCTGTATAAGTCACCCAGGTCGAGTGTCAAATATGCAATATTCATAAATGACCCCGTGGTGTACGGTAACTGCGACGGATAAGCGAACGGTTTGCTGAAAACGAAAATGTACGGGCAAATCTATGGGGTGTGGAATATGTCTAATATTTGCGCAAAGTTGTCGGCGCTGGAAGTGTATTAATATGTAATACTCACAAAAAATTTTATGCCGTCCCCTCAATCGAACAAGAATTGCTGGTTATTCAGCTAAAGGAACAGGCTTTCAGAAATATTACTGATCCATCGTTATAGGTTAACTAAAGTAGGGATATTATGTTGGGGCTAATCAGTCCCTGGCGATGTAAATGAGATTCAATTGTTTCCATGTGAGACTTAACTGGTTTACACTGCTGTTGAAATGTTGCTACATTGTGAAATCCTTCAGGGGCCTGTATCTTTAAAACGAAGTGGTATTATCAAAATTGCCAGAGGATAAAATAGCCTTTAAAGAGTCCAGAAAATCACTTCTCGAATTTTTGCCCAAGGCATTTCAAAAAGTTAATACAAGGTATTTCCTTCAAGTTCTTATGTCACTCATTCGTAAATTTCTTACTGTACGTAAAACAAATGTGTTAGAGCCATGGATGCAGTAGTAGTGCTTTATTGTAGGAAAAGAACGGTATACATTCCAATAATACAATTGTACAATAAACACGGAAAACCCCAAAAAGATAAACTTGTGCTGAGCGTCAACTGATAGCTAGAGACAATTAAACCTTGATACAGCATAACTTCAATGAAATTCAAATATTATAAAAGATGAATAATTTGACTAAGGGAAACTATGAAACAATAAAACAAAGACATAAATACTTGGAGGTACTGCAAAGCCTAAGCATTTGCTTAAGAAGTCATCTTATTGGAGCTACTTAAATTATTCCATTTTTTTCAGAGGTTCCTGATCTAGTGAGCCAAGAGTACGCAGTCCCAACGCTCAGGGTGGCTTCAAAAATAGATAAAGCCAAACCATCTCAAGTGGCACACAGTCTTTTGCTCAAACCGCCTCCAGTACCGCCTCCTCCCAAAGGGTACTACACCCAGCGAGAAATCAACACTGTTACCCTCCCACCTTCGCCGCCACTGTCGCCTACGGTGCCATCGGTCTTCAACAGGTAAAGCCCGGTTTAGACACAGCATTTCACCATACGCCTTGCCTGTCAGACAAAAGGGGCAAGTATGACGGTTAAAAGACTGGCGTACGAACTTAAAAGTTTCAACGTACGGTTCTTGATCAGTTTTTGGCAATAATAGCGCTGTGCTTAGTGATATTGAAAAGAAAAAGAAAGGCTTCTCGACGTTCATGATGGTTAAGAGCGTGGTTGCTGAAACTGATTTCCGCTCAACGAAACTTGCGTCTATAATTTATATACTAAGTGACATATAAATCCGAACACCCAGTTTAAATGGTTTTATTTTAATAAAATTTTGTATAAGTACTTAATGAAGCATAATAAGTAAATGATAAAAATTTCAAAATGATTGCACTGCTTTAAAGCCCTTTGACCTTTAATAATGTGTGGATGCACCCTGATGTGCTACGCATTCTCCAACGCGCCTAGGCATGCTTCTGATCAGGTGGTCAATGTCCTCCTGTGGTATCTCATTCCAGGCAACCACCAACTCCTCTCGAAGTGCTTCTAGAGTCTGAGGAGAACGTTGCAAATTGAGCAATCTCCTACCCATCATATCCCACACGTGCTCAATTGGGGATAAGTCGGGAGATCTTGGTGGCCATGGTAACAATGTGACATCATTATGTTGAAACAAGTCTATTGTGACTCTTGCAACATGTGGTCGGGCATTATCTTGTTGGAAAGTTGGATCTGCCAGGGTGTCAAGATAGGGTAAAAGATGGGGTTCTAGAACTTCGTGGATATAACGCTGCGCATTCATGTTACCTCTGATGAAGATTAAAGGTGACCTGGAACCATAAGCTATAGCGCCCCAAACCATAACTCCAACAGTGTGATGAACATGTCTTTCAACAAAAAACTGTGGATTCCTCCTTTCACCACGTCGCCTTTTAACCCTGGCACGACCATCGTGCATGCCTAAACAAAATCGAGACTCGTCACTAAAGACAATACTGTTCCATTCCTGATCCCAGAGTGACCGTTGTCTGCACCACTCAAGGCGATTACGTCGGTGTTCTCGAGTTAAAGGGAGGACCCAGTGTGGCCGGTATGAAAACAAGCCAAAACTTCTCATTCGTCGGTAAACACTTCGCATGCCAATAGGTCTTCCGTGTTCTGCAAACCATTCATTTGCAATGGACCTGGTAGTGGAGAAACGGTCCCTTAAGGCCAATAATCTTAGGCGGCGATCTTCACGGTCTGTTGTTCTACAGCGGCGTCCAGTGCCCCTTGCTCTTTGCGGACGGCCTTCTCGAAGCCATGCCTGACAACACCTAACCACAGTGTCTACACTTTTTTGCACTTTAACTGCAATTGCCCGAAAAGAAAGTCCAGCTTCCCGAAGTCCCACTATACGGCCACTATCAAACTCACTAAATTGACGAAATCGTACAGGTATCCGTACTCTAGGCATCGTTACCGATCGTAAAGGATGTCAAGAACGAAAATCCGCCAACGTTGATTCTTTACTGCGGCTGAAATATTCATTGTAGAGCGTTAGTGAATTAAAAAAAGCAGTATAAAAACCGGAATGTCCAACTGATATGGCTGAAAATTTTTTCACTTGTTATTTACAGTAAGATAAATACATTGACCAACTTTTATTAAAAAAAACCATTTAAACTGGGTGTTCGGATTCATATGTCACTTAGTATATATATACAAGTATAGAAATAAAATAGACTTAAGCTTACCGCTTGCTGTTGTAAATTTTTATCCTCTAAATTGCCGATCGTTGTCCTTCGAGTTTCTTCATCATTTAGAAGTTAAAGCAGGTCAAAATTGGCTTATAAATGTCATCCGTACCCGCACCAAATTATTCTGATTTTTTTACTTTTTGTAACTCTTTCCGATAAACCGATCGAAATGAATTATTTTTTTAGTTACAATATCCTTAGTCGAGGCACGATTACCATGCTGGTATTTCTTAAACAAAATAGCATAATATGCTTGATTTTTCTTCTCTCTGGCACTATAATCGCTTGTTTTAACTTTCTATGGACATGGGAAATTTCGATCCAGTTCAATAAATTCTGTGAAAAAATCACGGGGTCATTGTCGTAAGTCATGTTTTCAAATACATAGGTACCGGGCACATTTGCCAACACAAAATGAGCTAAATCAACAGTTTGATTTATTGGAAAACAATGGGTGATCTTGTCAGTCCTCTAGGCGGTCTTCCGTCTTAAATCAGTTCAAGTAAAACGTTAGTTTTTCAGTATACACACAATCCTTTACTTGATGCGTGTTTACCGAACAGGCAAGACGTATGGTAAAATGTTATGTCTAGGGCGTGCTAAGTGTCCCTCTAGTGTCTCTATTCCTCATCAATAACTTAACGACTTTACTAAAGTGTGACAATCTACTATTTGCCGGGCAAAGTGAAACCAATCATCTTTGATTATACCATAAATAGCGCAGTTTTCGGTATAACAACAGTGATTAAAGACATTGGTGTTACAATTTCCTGCAAGCTGGAGCGACACGGACTCTAGGTTTTATAATGCGTCCTTGCAGTTTTTTCTCTAGTGAAGCAGCACAAAAACAATTTTCATTTTGCTGTTGTGACCAAAACTTCAATACGCTTCTGTAGCATGCGCATCAGATGGTGAGAACCAAATTTGCCTGATCGCTTGAGTTCAATGTGTACGATAGAGAAGCGCGAGAAGTGTGTATAAACACATATGTTAGAAAGAGATAGAAGCAATAGTAGCGAAGCTCATCACCACGCTCCCTAGCAACGCTAATCCAGAAGGCGTCGCCAAAGGTTACGTCAGTTCCTTAAATTTAGATGCATGTTGAAAATATGCGTTAGTTTATTCTCTACGCCCAAATAATAGGCCATTAGCACCGATCCGGAATCATAGTTCACAATTCAGAAATGTGCACTCTCAAAATAAAGCCAGCATTTGTACGTAGACAATAAACTGATGCATATTTTCAACATGCATCTTAATTCAAGGAACTGGTATAACATATTGGCAATGTGGCAGATTGCCACGGCCTTCTGGATCAGCGTTGCCAGGCAACGTCGTGTTGAGCTCCGCTGGCTTCTATCTTCTTCTAACATACACATATTTATACACACTTCTCAACCTTCTCTCTCCCACACATTGCACTCAAGCCTTCAGGCAAATTTGGTTCTTCCTGTATAAATATTCTAGAAAATGTGCATTGACAATATTCAGCTTAAATGGTGTTGATAAAATACAAAGGATCTTGAAATAAATCGGTAATTTAGGTAGCTTTGTTATTGAGCAAAATTTCGGGTCAATAGTGCTTGACATCTGTATATCTGGAACTTTCTCATTTTCAGGTATGGAAAGGTCTCGGTCTATACTACCTACAATTTGACTATATTTATACAATGTATACTCATTTATCTATAACAGCAGTGTCCTAAAATCTGGATGCTATGACGCTATGACGAACTGGTACAACAGCGCAAGCTGAAAACATGAAATACTTAATAATTTATTCCAATCTCAACCATTTCCCAGTATTACCAGTTTATTATTATAACATTAATTAAACGAACGAGACATTACCATTAAAATTAGTAACTCAAAACATCTGTTTTCTCATCTTACTGTCGCATCAATTATTCGCACAGTAGTCTCTGTCGCATGGCCTTCTTGAATATTTAAGCATCTTTTATTGGGTTGTCAGACGTCCGCTGAAATATAGCGCTCTTCCTGGAGAAAAAAACCTCCCGGGAATGTGGAAAGGAAGAAACGGGACGCGAATTTTGAGAAACGGTGACAACTGCGATTCGTGATCGGAAAACGTGTGTATTGCTGCTTTTGCTTCGAGTTCAGCAATGCATGTGAAAATAGGGAAGTCACTGACAAATAAATACTTGCGATCTTCTCCTCTCCAACAGTATTTCAAAGGATGTTGTCAGATATTGTATGGAATCTGGTACCCACCTGCCAATAGCTACGTGTATTGTGTCATTGCATAGCTCTTTTTGCACTAAATTATTCTGGTGCCTATTTCCAAATCTTAGTCCGTTTACAATTATACAGTACTTTGTATGTAAATATATGTTCCGTTCTTGGTTATAACGCATTTTGCACAGTTGAAACTAGTTTCGACTAACCGTCTTTGATAGAACTACAATGATCTGCTGCTTAAAAATAACGGTCAGTTAAAACTAGTTCTAAATAGACAAAACGCGTTTTGTTCAGCTTCATTTTAGATATCTTGCCGAGCTACGATAATCATTTTAAGTCTGTCTTGCGTTGGGCTTTAGCGTGGGCCAAAGTCAAACCGAAACCTGAACCAAAGAGCAAACCGTTTGGATTTTGGTTTGGGTCGTTGGTTAGGATTGTGGTTTGAATTTAAAATTGAAATACAAGTTTTAAAAAATATTTAAGACACTTACTAAAGGTTCATGTTGTGTGTACAAAAAATTTATCCAGCATATGACGCGAAAAACAGCCTACCTTGAGATGCCCTACCAGGAAAGTACATTGAAATTTCGAATTCCAAAAATACCCAGTATTTGAATAATATATTTTCTCTCATTCCCTCGAAGTTCTAAAAAGCCCCCCTAACTTACACCAAGTCCCAAACGTCTCGTACGGTTTTTTATGTACAAGGTTCATGAAATCGTAACAACGATAGCAGATGAAAAGCATCCAATTTTATCTTCAGAATTATACATAGTATTCTCGATTCTCTATAATGAGTGATAAAGTAAAAAATTCTAAAGTTACTATTGATGGTGTCTCTAAAACACGGTGTTTCATTGGACAGTTCTAAAACTATTTTGTCCTTTAGTAAATATTTGAAATGTCACCTTGCTCCGTAAATATAGGCTCAAAAAAACACTGATAATTTATTTTTCGTAAATAGTTTTTGAACAACATCGTATAGAGAGTTGAGGCCTTAAACATAAGGATGGTCTTCTTAGAAATCATTTAGTTAGCGCTAATGCAATGTTGCTAATACACTAAGTGGCATATAAATCCAAA